AATTTGTTATGAATACGGAAAAGGCACCGAACTGTGTTTATCCCTAGCAATTGAATATTATAGAATGTCTGCAATAAGAGGAAATGTTTGGGGAATGATACAATTAGCGAGAAGGTATCAAGCTGGAATTGGAACCCCTAAAAATATTGATAAGGCTATATATTGGTATCAAAAAGCTCTTGAAATCGGTTGTGAAAAAGCAAAGACCGAGTTAGATAATTTAATGAAGTCTCTATCATCCTCATCAAAATTTCCGTCGCTGACTTCAATTCGATGTGGTATCATATCAAGGAACACTATCAAAAAACGCCATCAAGCATTTCGAATATGATTAGATATCATTCATTACAATTGAAGGTCTCAGATGTTAATAGATAATTTGTACAAAAAACAAAAGTAATCTATCCGGCTTATGTAATGTCGGTTTTTTTATTTAGACACACTTATAGTAATTGATCGCTAATACGCAATAGATTGTCTGTAACTTTGCATCAAAAGCATGATAGTGAAAGACATTTGCAACCAACAATCATAGAACAATTACTTCCTTAATTAATTTAATGTTTCGTACTGTACATTTTCATTCTCAAAAAACAAAAAACAAAAAACAAAAAACAAAAAACAAAAAACAAAAAACAAAAAAAAAAAAAAAAAAAAAAAAAAAATGAAAGCTATTGCTTCTTAGTGTTCAAAGACTTAATCGTAATCGTACACTTTAATGTTCAAGTTCAATAAAATTTCGGTTAATAGTTGCGCTCTCCGAATTGTAAATACTATTCTATTCAATGTAATTATTGTCAATAATATTCAATGTAATTATTGTCAGTGTTAATCATTATTGTCATTAGTTCATCGTCAGTAAGCCTTCACCAAATGTGGATTTCTTGAATTAAATGTAAGATTTTCTCTTAATTATTAATAATTAATTAATAATTTATTAAAACCAATATTTGCACACATGTTTTGCTGATCCAGTTTGGTTTGACACGATGATCATTATTATAAATTCACTATGGACTATGCGTATTATCAT